ACACACACACACACACACACACACACACACACACACACACACACACAAATAAACAGGTAAAATAATTTATATAACAAACAACAAACAAAACCCCATATACTTGTAAAGAAAATGAAAACAGAGCTTCCCTTGGCTACGAACCTGCTCTACTCGGCTGAACATACTCCAGTGCCCCTCCATTGTTATATAAAACCTTCTACCATCAAACAGTTAGGGCTCATGACCTAGTCTTCTCAGCTATCTCTATTTAAGTATCTAGTTGCCTTCTTTTGGTCAATTAGTAATATTCTAGCTATTTGAATTTTCCGTTGCAATAGGACTTTTCTGGAATAATATGTCTATAATATATGTGCTGTCAGTGGATAAGAAATTACATAACAGCATTATCAACAGAGACTACAGATACATGGAAGAAAACCATTCCAACCCCAATCTAGGTAAACATCTGGACCATTGGGCAACTTACTTTATCCTTCTATGCAAAGTGCATACTTTAGAGATCTGTGACTACAGAGTGGGTGTTTGCAAAGGAGGTACCATCACTCTCCTAGGCTCACGCCTTTGAAATGGGAACTTCGGAGGGTTTGTTGTTGCTGCTGCTGCTTGTTTTGTTTTGGTTTTGGCTTTACATAATCGCCAGCATTTGTCTTATTAACAAATGACCTGCAATCATCCTAACAGGGTCAGTTCTTCCAATATAAAATATAAACATGTGACAGATGCAAAACATGGCATTTTTTTCATCTCTTCTAAGCCTATTATACTACGTGGGTAAGCAGGGCATTGACCTATGGCGTACAATATTAACTCCAGCTTTAGTTTTTCAAATTTAGTTGACTTATATAATTTGAGAATTGGACCAGACATCAAAAATCCTGTAATCTAATTATTTATCTAAACTGCTTGGCAGGCTTATGTTTTAAGAGATATAGGTGCAGTGAGCATGAATATTACTCTCTAGATGGGTGATTCTTAATCTGTGGGTCGCAGCCCTGTTGACAAACCTCTATCTCCAAAAATATTTATATTACAATTCATAACAGTAGAAAAAATACAGTTATGAAGCAGCAACAAAAATAAGTTTATTGTTGGAGGTCACCACAACAAGAATTATATTAAAGAGTTTCATCATTGGGAAGGTTGAGAAATCCTGATTTAGATAGTAAACAAGTAGGTGAATGTCACATTGCTTTATTTTTAATATTAAATTTAAGTCTGGCCCATTTTAAACAATGTTTTTGTTTTAGTTTGCTGTTGGCTTGTGTGTGTGTGTGTGTGTGTCTTTGGTTGTTGATTAGGACTTGAACCGAGGGCCTCATTTTATAATACACGGAAACTGAACCTGAGTTACTATTGTCTGTTAAGTCTTTTACCATATCCTAAGTGGTTTGTCTTGAAATGAAGCAGAATGGAACCTCCCACAAATTCCCTGTAGCCCCTTTACATATTGAAGATTCGGTCACTCCTGAGTCACACACAAGGCCCTTGCTTAGGCTGGAACGTACAAGGTCCAGGCACAGCTTCTTTGAAGATTCCTTGTGAGCCTCCATCTGATGTGTGCTCCTTCCCAGAATGCTGTGAGGTGGTGAACGAGGCCCGCTAATCTCAGAAATCCTCCCCCCTCCCAGCACAATTCCTTGAACACTCTTTTCTAAAATACCCAGGTTAACTAGGGGTTGTTTCATTCTTCTGGTCTCCACCAGGCAGCATAAACCATTTCCAAGCGTGTGGCACAGGGCTGGCGATACGGCTCAGTTGATACAGTACTTGCTTAGCCTTACTGAAGCCTGGGGCTCTATCCCAGGTGTCACCACACAAACTGGATGCCACAGAGCACCCCTATGATCCCAGTGCTTGGGAAGTGGAAGCAAGAGGATAAGAAGTTTGGGTTCATTTTTGCCCTGTATGGTGTTCAAAGCCAGCCTGAAATACCTGAGAAACTATCTCAAAGCAAAAACAAAAACAGAAACGAAACAAAAAACAACAACAAAGAAAAGACAAATTAGGAGGTAAAAGAATAAAAAAAGAAAAAAAAATACCCAAGGGAGTTCTTTTCTGTTTTTTTTTTTTTTTTCCCAATACTGTAGCAAAAAAGAAAACACAAATTCACATCAGAAAATAAGCTCTTATCTCATGTCAGTAAACAAGTCTTTGACCCTAGGGAGTTTACAATCTGATAACGAAAGAGAATGGCTAGTTCAGAAATAAATTATGTGGTAGGTGTGGAGTCAATGTGAGTTTCAGAGTGCTGTGAGAGTGAGGAGGAGAAAGATGAAACTGTGGCTGACTTCAGGGAGCACCCGTGGGGGAGAAAATGTCCTAACAAAGATGAGAGAGACAGTACATTCCCATTCCTTCGGACAGTGAGCAGATTCTAGCTGGGTTTTCATTTTACATTCTAATGGTAAAACTGCAGGCTCGCAGCTCAAGCACACACTGTGGCAGGGCCAACCAGGTGAGGTCAGCGAGCACAGAGGAGACTGCTGCCCGCTGGTCTCCCATGGAAGCAGGAGGGACAAAAAGGAAACCGATGGTCCTAAGAGTTTTAACTAAGCCCCCAGAGCATGATGGGCCTTGCTGGAGGAAAGGCTGTAAGAACCAGCTGTGGGTTGGGGAACACCAGAGGAAATGGCAGGGGTCTGAAGTCAATGTCCGCCCCTACATGAGCAAAACTGGCCTCAGGGATGGGGAGAGAAGACCTCCAGTTTGAGAAGCTGGAGATCGCCTGCAGAGTTGAGATGAATAGTTTTGAAAGACAGGTGGGCTGAAAGTCTGAATATATAGGAGAAGTGCTTGCCAGAAAATGTTGAAGGAAAGGATACTTGAAGCCAAGATTGTCAAGAAAGGGAGAACTAAAGGGAGGGGGGAAGAGAGAGAGAGAGAGAGAGAGAGAGAGAGAGAGAGAGGCAGCCATCAAGTAGTAAGTGAAATCCATCAGCTAATGGAGAAACAGGCTGAGAAGACCCTTCGAGATGCTGGTCTGTGGAAGCTCCATGGAGACTATGCTCGGAGACTCTGGCCAGAGTCATGTGAGGAAGCCACACCATGGAGTAATGGGGGTTAAATAAATTTGGTAGCCTCAGGGGAACGATAACCAAGACATGCTGCTGCCTCCTCTTGGTCCTGTCACATGCTTACCGAGTCCCTCGATCAGGTGGCAGTTCGGAGGTTCTGTAGGCTTTATTTCTCGAGATGTAGTAACTCTGTCTCTGTAGAAGATACAGGTCAATGTGAAGAAACCAACATGGAGGTGAAAGCACCCACACCCTCTTGGTAAGCGTCTGAACAGACATGGAGTTCCTGCGGTCACTTTCCTGTTGTGAAAATTCCGATGCCTCTTGTTATGTATGGCATAACAGATAGGTAGGCAGTGCCTTTGGTTTCTAGTTATGTAATAGGTTTCATATGAGCACTGTGCCCACACAGGCTAACTTCGCAGTTATTGCTGGAAGAACAAAGCACAATTCTATACCCAAGATAAGACCTCACTTCATGCTAGGTGGAACTGAACAATACTGTTAATTTATAAGAACAAAGCAGCATTACACCATTCTCTTAAGTATTATCTAACTCTGCACTTTTCCTCTTCATCTCTTGTTTTCTTTTGACCTCCTGCCTCCAGCAGGGAGGGGGAAAAAAAAACCACCAAATTTCTGTGATGTCTTCAAAGAGCTAAACTGTTAACTTTTGCTCTGTCTTTGTTCTTGTAAACACAGCTTACGCTGACATACCTTACAAATATGTACTTCATCGACCCGAGCACCATTAAAGCCATTAGCCTAACTACTCTTCAGCACAGCATTCTAATTTTTGCAGTGGAACAGTCTTCTAAATACTGGGTAGAACTTAAAACGTCTATCAAACTATATTCAAGAGGACTACGGTTAGGTTTCTCCTTGGACCACTTATCAAGAAGGACTGTGGGGCTGCAGCTGTAACTCAGCAGAGGGCTGTTTGTCACCCTAGCTGCGCCAGACCCAGCCAGGTGTGTGTACCGCCCAGCCTGAAATTTACTATTTGACGATTCTGTCACTTGTTTGGGGAACAACGAGCCCCCTCAAGCTGGACTAGAAAGCGTTGCCAACAGACATCAAGCATCTGAACAGATTGCAGCACCAAACCTCTGAGACCAGTCTCTCCTTAGAGAAAGAATAAAAACAACACGATGACAAGCAAAGGCCTTAGCCCCACCTAGGAATAAAGCTTAAAAAAAAAATATGAAAACTTTTTTTTTTTTAAGTTCTTTCAGACCAGACTGACTTTGTTTCAGACAATTCTGGGGCGGATGTCCCTGTTAGATCCTCTACTTCAAAGTGTCAACCGCTGCCCAAGCCAATTCCTAATTCCTGTTCACGGGCTGTAACCCAGCACTTCAGTGTCTGACTCAGCTACAAACATTCAGCTGCTACTTTGGTCCCCTCCCCCAAGTTCAGCACTTCCGAAGGACTTTGGTATTTCACAAGGGCAACATAGCGGAAGACCTGAAAAACGTACACAACCTTGTGGGTTTCCTACCCTGGCAGTCTAGAGAAGCAAGCAGCTGTCCCCCTTCCTAATGAGTGGTTTTCAAGAGGGGGGGAAGTTCGCTGGGTGGCACTAAGATTGAGGTTCCAAAACTGCCTCTTTCCAGCCGCTAGGAAACTGGGAGCGGATTGTCCCTGACCTAAGTTGGACGAGAAAGGAAAGAGGGCAGAAGACATCTCCACGGAGATGTCCACTCACCTAAAAGTCAGCAGTCTCTCCCCTATTAAGGCCAAGGTGGCCCCCAGCAAGGTCAGCGCCACTAGCTTCCCCATGATGTCTGGGTCCCTGGACGCAGCGAGCCCAACCCTTAGCTGGGGCTGTTTCCCCGGGGCGGATGCAGCGGCCCCGCCCACTGATCAGTACCCTGCGCCCCGCCCGCCTGCAACTCCTGGCAGGTGCTCCCGTACCTTCCTACACAGTGTTGGGGGGCGGGGATCTTCGCTCTCTTGCTCCAAGGCTCAAAGCCACTTGTCTCCTTGAGTGTCAAGGAAAAGTTTTGCTCTTTGGATTCAAGCCCACCATTACGGACCATGGTTCAAGGCCACTTTAGAGTGCAGATTCCAAGGCTGCCTCTACGAAAGGAGTTCAAGGACACATTTCTGCCTAGGATTCAGACCTCATAAGGCGCTAGTCCATATCAGGACCGGTGACCTCTAGCTAAGGTCAGCCAAGCTCTGAGCTGCTCCGGTTTGAACTCACAAGTTGGTTTCTTAAAGCCACAGAACTTAACAAATCTCAGCTCCACTAGTTGACAGAGGTGGGAGAGCTTTTGGGTTCTGGCAGGCTAGATGCAGGAGGAGAAACGGCTCCTGAAACATCCCAAAGAAAAGAAGACGCTGAAAGCCAAGCTCTTTGACTCATCCTGCCCCAGATCTCCTTGCTGCCTTCAGGGTGCTGGACCTGGTGAGAATCCAAGTCCATCTCTCTGGCAACCTGAAGGATGAGGCGAATGCAATAAAAGGGACATAGTTTTCCATGGGAGATTCTTGCTCTTCTTTCCTGAGGGCTTCAGGTCCTTCTGGTAAGAGCACACTTTCCTCTCAGGTAAACAATAGCGTTGAAGAGTCTGAAGATGGCGGGACACTTGAGATTAGGGAACATTGCACCTTCAAGTGTTACCTATTTTTATTTACCAACAAGAGGTAGTAGCAGTAGAATTCAATTTTGTTTTTATTTTTTTTTAAAGAGCCTTTTTTAAAATATGAAGTTTTTTTTTTGTTGTTGTTATTGTTTTGTTTTGGTTTTTGGTTTTTTTTCTAGACAGGATTTTCTGTGTAGCCTTGACTATCCTGGACTCACTTTGTAGACCAGGCTGGCCTCGAACTCACAGAGATCCTCCTGCCCCTGCCTACTCCAAGTGCTGGGATTACAGTCATGCGCAACCTCGCCCGGCTGAAATATGAAGATTTTATAGGGCGAAGAATATCAAGGGAAGTATCCCTTGACCTACAGAATACCTAAATAAAATATTGGGTGATGAAGAGATGGCTCAGCAGTGGTAACACTTACTGTTGTTGCAGAGGAACTGGGTGCCAGAAAAATGTTATGACATGAGTTTTGTTTTTTTTTTCTCAAAAAAATAGCTTAGTACCAGGCAATGCTCATTTTGCCCAGCATACAGTCTGCCAATCACTTAAGTCTTTCAAGAGAATATTCTCAAACAAGCCAAAGACAGAAAAGACAGACCCAGGTCTTGAACCCACCTTCCTGAGGTGAGGACATGAGGCTGTTTATAGGATAAGGAAGCAGGTGGAAACCACTTGGAAGTAAGACCATCAATAGTCAATGCATGGATCCGTCCTTATGACCCTCCATGGAGCGCATAGACATTGCAGCCTTTAGCAGCGTCCGAGGGCAGAGTGCAGGGCTGCCCACGGCAAAAGTTCTGAACACTTGATGGTTCAACTCGTGATTAGGACAACCATTTTCATCAGAGGTGTCACCCACAAAAATATTCTTGGTATCCAGGTGGATTTCAGTGTTAGTGATTTATAGCATCATCTTGGGGAAATCAGCTGAGCACTCATGTGGTTAGGATAGGAGGACTGAACATTCAAAGCCAGGCTGGGACTAGATATTAGTAAGATCCTGCTTTTCATTTTTGTTTTTAAGTGAAGCTCGTGGATTTGAGGGGAGCAATAGCATTCTCTTGGATCCCTCCTCTCAATATGTTGACTGTCTAAAGTTTTATTTTGCTTTCTGCTCTAATAAGAGGCACAGTTCCTTGAGCTATCAAGCTCTACTGAGAATTACAGACCTGGGAGCAAGGGTCACTAATGGAGCGCTTGCCTAGAATGCACGAGGCCCTAAGTTCCATCTCTAATACATAAAAAAAAAAAACCTGAAAATTTTTACTATTAAAAATTTGCATTGGAAAAAAAAAGTCTGTTTTATACAGGCTAAGAATTCCAGGTCTGGAGTGATTATTCAGCAGCTAAGAGCACACACAGCTCTTGCATAGGACCCTGGTTTGATGCCCAGCACCAAAAGGCAGCTTACAACCCTCTGTAACTCCAGGCCTGGGGGATCCGATGCTTTTTCTGGTTTCCATAGACACTGTATACATCTGGTACACATTTACACATGCACAAAACACACACACGCATTTTTAAACAAAAAGAATTCCTACTCATAAGAAAAAAGCTAACATCCTTCAAGAAAACTAAAAACAAGAAAATCCAGTGAAACAATACAACTCCTTTACATATCTAAGAGGGTGCTTTTATATAATTAATTATAATTATAATTATGCAATATATTGTATTATATAATTAATTAATATAAAGTCTCAATGTTTATTCCTGGCTGGCCTGGAACTCACAGACAGCCACCTGCCTCTGCCTCGCAATTGCCAAGATTAAAAAAGTGCCCCACAACACCCAGCTAACAAGGAGTTTAAATTCACTTGTAATAAGAGAATGAAAATTAAACACATTGGAAGAAGCAAAAGCAAAAAGCTAAGAGAGTATTAATGCCACACACACACACACACACACACACACACACACACACACCCCACCCAGGCCTCCTCTCCTCACAGGCAGAGATTCTCTCATAAAAACTGTCAGGAATGAAGAACGGGAGAAGCCATGGGAAGGCAGGCGAGGTGGAGTTGCTGCTCTAACTTCTTCACTGCTCTCCTGCACAGTGCTCAGCAGACTAGGAAGGTGCTTGCTTCAGGACAGGACAGACTGAGCAAATAAATCACAATCTACTGAAAAGACTATCTTTAGATTAGTTACCAGGAGTAATTAAGCCAAGTAAAACAAAACAATAACACTGCATAGCTTATTTGATTTTCCTTGCTCCTCATATTAAGTACTCAGGTGTCATTAAACAGCTAAGATTTTATTGAAAGGGATGAGGAATAAAAGTATAGGCTAAAGAGACAGCTGGGTGGACAGTGTTTGAAAGAGTTTCCGAACTGGAATATCCACCCCACATAAAAGCTGGGCATGGCTGCATGCTCCAGTAGCCCCAGTGCTAGCAGAAACACAGAGCTTCAGATTCATGAAGACACCATCTTACGGCAAGGAAATGGAGAATAGAGGAAGACACGTAAATGTCCTCCTCTAACCTCTGCGGATACATGCATGTAAACACACACACACACACACACACACACACACACACACACACACACACA